GAAGTCTGAGCAACCCGAACGGACTGGTTGCTGACGAAATCTCAGATCGGATACAGAAGGATCGTTTGCCACTAGACAACTTGCGTCACATATGACGTCGGCGAGATATACGGCTATATATTGGAGGGTGAGTATACTGTGCTGCATTTTGTTCTATCCTGTTATGAGACTGAGACATGCGTTAGAAGTAGGAGACATGTAACAGTTACCGTTTTTCGACCATAGTTGTCTTGTAGCATTGCTCGCGTTTAGTCGGATCACCATGTGAAGAATGTTGAGGTTACGCGATACGTACCAGGCAAGACAGGGAAGTCGATTAATGAGGTTGTGAAAGTTGGTCGACTGAGATGGCTTAAACATGTACTGCGCATGCGTGGCCACCACCTACCTCAATGTGTGATGTTCGGGGAAGTTGGATTAGTATGGAAAAGAGTTCAGGGTGGGCAGATTAAGACCCGACACCAGTCGATGAAGTTCCTAACTGTTGGCTTGAGCTGTGTGGGGAGATGTAGACTTCCTGATTGGGATCCCTGAGAGGATAGGAATCAGTGGTTGAGGATACTTGCAGACATGGATGAAAATCGGTGAAATTGGTGCTGATGTATTCACTTCTTGACATCTAAAGCTTGAATATTCATACTAGCTTTTATCTTCAGATTGTTTATTTTCTCACACTATTTTATCTATTTTGATATCACTCCTTTTCTACCCACCTATTCTTTGTGTACTACTGTGAAGTCTGGCAACTTTAGCCGATGTACTTGTGTACGGGGTTCTAGATTCATTGTATCAGTTAGTCAGCTGACCAAAGTGATAAATCTGCAGGTCCTACATGGATAGTATTCAGGTGTCTAGTGAACAACTGCGGACTCACTGATGTTGGTTCATCATTACGTTGTAGAGCAAAATATACACTTTTCCAGTGAATATCGGTTAGTAGTCATGTATTTGTAAATGTATGTTTACGAACCAGTTATGTCGTGATGTCTCCTGATGCATATTCATAATATCAACCTAATTACACCCACTGACTACAGTTCAGATGTTTCAAAGGATGCTGTTTATCGAACGCTGTTAATTTACTTAATTTACATAAAGCGAAATGTCAACATATAGTCGTAGTAGTGGGCGACTTCAACACTCAGTTAGAGGGAGCTGAGCCAATCAGAAACATTACTTCGATGTGAATGTCGAATCTCACGTCAACGAACCAACAAGTGTGTTTGTCTCGTACAAATTTTGTTCTGTTAATCACATGCTGTTGGTTAGCACTAACTTCAAGCATAAGAAGAGACACTATCGCATCACTTGATGTCCGCCGACATGATCGTAGTAAACAGGTGGCAGCTAATTTTATTTTAGTCTGTTTATTATTGTGTCACGCAGTGAAACAGTATTATTTAGATTATTTATTGTGGATATTCATATGAGGTGTTGGTTAAGTTTTTGTACTGGGAATTGGGAGACGAGAATGTGAATTACATATTTTGGTGTAAGTTAGCGAAGGATTTATCTGAACGTGACAGCTAACGTCATTGTGAGGAGGCGTAAAGTGAATTTCAGTGTGTTGTAGAAACAGCGGTGAAGGCAATGCAGTTAGTAACCTCTATGCAAAGGTTAACGAAAGTCAGTGAATTTACTCTATTTCATTCGAAGTAGTTGATGTGAGAATAATCATTGGATCTTAGTCTGAAGATGATGATGAGCGAAGGCGAGTTGAACGTCAACAGACTGAGAGTCTTTGGAATGATCGTGAGTAGTGATGCTGATGGATAGCGAAGTTTGGGTGATGGTGTAAGTGGTGGTGGTTGTGGTTGTGGTTGTGGTTGTGGTGGAGTGTTGACGGCGTCAGAATTCCGTTATGCGCGAGGATTATTGAGGCCTATTGAGATTAGTGGGAAGGAGAAGACGTGAGTCAGTGAAATGGGTGGGATGATAATGACCTCTAAGGCTGGTGTTTGGAAGGTTGGAGGTAACACGTCGTATCGCAGTTGAGCTGATCTACAGTGACACGATTACTCTTATTGGAGGGCGAGAATCGTGTTTTATTTGTTCACCTTGGATACGGTTTGACTGTCGAATTGTCTTTGAGAGAAAGAGATTGATAAGCAGGATAATTCCCCTTCATCTTCTCCACGTATTATTACCATTAAAAGGTCAGATAATTCCTAGCTTTTGAACGATTGACTGCCTGCAAGTGATCCAGTAAACGGTTAATATGTTAATATGTATCGTACATATGTGATTGGTTTATTTTCACTGCTTTCATGCGTTTGTGTATCAAGACATACCGATAACTTTCAAATAATCAGAATAACAGTAAGCAATGCAAACAATGAAGTATTCAGGAGATAAAACTGAAAATATTTTCCTTATTTTGAATGTATCTTATTTTAAGAAACAGGATTTAATTGTATACCTATAGTTTTGTGATAACAAGGATTTACAAGAATTTGGAATGGATACTTTTTGAGTTCTATAATCTACTTTTCTTTTTTCCATTAATAGTTTATTAAAACTGCTATTGTTGCGTGATTCTCTCCTCATTATTTGAGCATAAAAAATTTAACGAAGATTTTAGCTACTTATACCTTGGAAATTCAACAATATCGCTTGTTATTCAGTCACTGTGAATATGATCCCTGACTTTACTGCGGTCCAAGTTGCAACAACTTGCACCATCAAGATAGTAGGCACATGGAAGATAGATATGGAAGTGAGGAAGGTATCAGCAAAAAGTAACAGACAATGGTAGAAAGAACGAAGCAATGGTAACGATTGTGATGAAGATAATGTGCGGATGTATCTGTATCAATATCATCAGTTCTGAGACATGTCACCTATAGTCCACAGAAATCGATTTCGGTTGTCATGTGGACACCAACTGCAGTCTTCATTTCCCTACACAACTCAGATCAACAGTCAGAGACTTCATGGATTGATACCATGTGTCAGTTTGGGTGCCTCTAACCTCTATCTAATTCGAAACCATTTCAACCAGTTATGCGATGTGGTAGACAGTGACTAGTCGTGCGTAACATGTCCCAGTAATCTAAGTCAAGAGTTTGCAATCCCATCAACTGTCTTACTTCCCAACTGACAGCTGCTACCTTGATGTGGTGGCCGAGGTTGCATATCACGATGATACCCACTAAGCGCTTCTTCCTGTCATGCCATATAAATGTGTTAGAAAAGCAGTTACCGTTGTAGTGCGAATAGATTGGGAGTGATGGGGTTCCGAGGGTGAAGTCTTACTGATGGGTGGATGAGGTATGACAGCAGTAAGGCGTTCCCCTTGGACGACCAGGAGTACCATGCTGATACCACCCTTCCGTATATGTGTAGGTGGTGGGTCGGTAAAGCTCGACCTCTGAAATAGCACATTCCCATGTATCCCAGAGTATTCCGTTGCCGATGATATGTGCTTTTCTACTCCGTTGTTAGCACAATGAAATCTCAATCGAGCGTCGAAATATGGATGTGTGAGACAAGGAAAGATCCCTTGGGTTCAAGCAGAACGAGAGACACTGTCCACCAACATGAAACTAACGGTGGACACATATTGATCATATTACTGTGTGTCGTAGTTGGAGAGGTTCGGTGGAGAATCGCCACCGTTTCTAGAATACGTGCTGGGACTGCAATGACTTGTCAGTGCTTGGATATGTGTGTTGTCGCCCCACTGATCACAGTAAACAGGTGGCAGCTAATTTTATTTTAGTCTGTTTACTATTGTGTCACGCAGTGAAACAGTATTATTTAGATTATTTATTGTGGATATTCATATGAGGTGTTGGTTAAGTTTTTGTACTGGGAATTGGGAGACGAGAATGTGAATTACATATTTTGGTGTAAGTTAGCGAAGGATTTATCTGAACGTGACAGCTAACGTCATTGTGAGGAGGCGTAAAGTGAATTTCAGTGTGTTGTAGAAACAGCGGTGAAGGCAATGCAGTTAGTAACCTCTATGCAAAGGTTAACGAAAGTCAGTGAATTTACTCTATTTCATTCGAAGTAGTTGATGTGAGAATAATCATTGGATCTTAGTCTGAAGATGATGATGAGCGAAGGCGAGTTGAACGTCAACAGACTGAGAGTCTTTGGAATGATCGTGAGTAGTGATGCTGATGGATAGCGAAGTTTGGGTGATGGTGTAAGTGGTGGTGGTTGTGGTTGTGGTTGTGGTTGTGGTTGTGGTTGTGGTTGTGGTGGAGTGTTGACGGCGTCAGAATTCCGTTATGCGCGAGGATTATTGAGGCCTATTGAGATTAGTGGGAAGGAGAAGACGTGAGTCAGTGAAATGGGTGGGATGATAATGACCTCTAAGGCTGGTGTTTGGAAGGTTGGAGGTAACACGTCGTATCGCAGTTGAGCTGATCTACAGTGACACGATTACTCTTATTGGAGGGCGAGAATCGTGTTTTATTTGTTCACCTTGGATACGGTTTGACTGTCGAATTGTCTTTGAGAGAAAGAGATTGACAAAATCAAGGTAGAACCTCTCACAGAAGTGCATGACTTCAAGTTGACACATTTCAAAGCAGTATGCAAAGAACAAGTGGATAGAGAGAGACCGATATCAAACTAGACAAAGATGCATGGGAGAACGACTTCGAAGATGAAGGTTATTGTTAATGACGAAAATTTAAATTTGAAGGGGTGAATAAGTCTCTGCTATTGTGACTGATTGGCATGCATGTCACCGTGAGTCTTCAACCATTGATTATTATACAGTTGAACTGTTTAGTACAGCATATCAGATTGATGCTAGGGTAACCATTTTTGTCAAGAAGCCATAAATTGTGACCATCAGACCAGGTGTTACTGCGTGACGGTCTGCGTTGCCACAGCTCATATCAGTACATCAAGTAGAAACGTAGTGAAGTGGAAGATGAAGATTAGATAGATAGATAGAAGATAAGAGAGCACGCTACTGTTAAGATGACATTTCATTTTCTTATCTTCTAAATTTTGATTTTTTTATTTTATTTTGTCCAAAGGTGATCATCTTGTACAATTATATACGGAGATTTTATCAGAACAAGAAAAATTGATAAGTCAGTTATTGAATGAACATCGTCGTAATGGTGACCAATCAATTATGTCAAAGTTATCTGATTTGATGAGTGTTAATACATGTATAAAGAAAGTACTATCTAAACATAGTCATCAGGTTGCCGTATTGACGCCATATTTCGAGTATGCCAATTTACCTAAATCTAATATTAATGCTGAGTTGGGCGATGATATTCTTGAGATTACTGTTGTCCGTGGCATAGCCTATCCACTTCCATCACACTATTCTCATATTGATACATATGTTGATGTGGAATTATGCTTCAGTTCTTCTGGTACACCGATAAAATTATCTACAGATGTGGTAAAGTCTAGTTGTGAACCTGTTTATAGTCAATCGGTTAAAGAAGTTCATGTGAATACAAAAGGTCGTATATACAGACGTTTCGTGCAAAACAATCGTCGTTTAAAAGCAACGGTGAGTTACATTACAGTTGCATTGCTTTTACTCAATAATTCTGTATATCTTTGTGTTATTCATTATAGTTATATGCAAATCAGGGAACTTTGTGAAAGCCTATGTATTAAATGGTAAGTCACACCTAATGTGTAAGCGCTGAAAATAACACTGCTATCCATATTGAATCATTCGGCGAACGTCGGGACCGGAGTTGGTAGATTCAAAAATCATTCGTCTGGTTAACTAGTTCACTAGTTACTAGCCAGTCCTAAGCCCGGATAAAGAGGGAAGACTAAGCATAGGGCTAGCAATCCTACCCGTAAAACCAATTCAATCGCTAAAGAGAACTCCGAAGCACAAAGAAACTATTAAAAATGAAGACAAACTTATTCCTCACTGGAATCGGAGAGACGAAATGACGCCGGTTGGTGAAAGCCTTCGGGAAGCCAATTGGCCGATGTGTCTTCTCCCTCTCGATGAAAGCGAAAGTAAGGATGGAGACATTGAATGTCCGCACAATGTTCGGAGCTAGCAAGGCTACCCAGATTGCAAACGAGATGGGAAGGTATAGGATAGAAGTGCTAGGAATCTGCAGATGGAATGGAAGTGGACTCTCCAAACTGTCAACTGGAGAGTCAATAATCTACTCCGATATTGTCACCCAGATGACAATCACGAACACTGAGTTTTGGAGTTGGTATCATGATGTCTTCAAGAGCATCGAAGGCTGTCTCTCATGCAGTGGGAACTAATCTCCTCCACAATCAGGATCATGCCAGGAAGATTCAACTCAAAAGGAATGAAAGTCAGAATGATACAAATAATACAGACCAGGAGGAGAAGGAGGAATTCTACAGACAACTGCAATCAGTAGTGGACAACACCCCATCTGAGTTGGCGATGATGACATCAAAATTCTAATGAGTGGGGTGACATGAATGGCAAACTGGGAGGAGACAACATGGGAAGAGAACCGATCATGGGTGGAGAAGGACTCGATGAAATGAATGAGAATGGAGAACTGTTTGAGACCCCTGGGCATTCAGTGATTTGGTGATTGGAGGTGAGGTAGTGTGTACAAACAGAAGGATGTTCAGAAAGCGACATGGATTTGATTTCACCAGACACCAGGACACACTAAAGATCAGATCGACTTCATTTGGATGTGAAGAAAGTGGAGACGCAGCCAGCCTACTGGACACAAGATCAGACGAAGAAGAGAGAGAGAGAGAGAGAGAGAGAGAGAGAGGGGAGGGGAGCAGATGTAGGTTCACACCATTCACTATCTAGTGTAAGGGAGCTGAATTCAAACTCAAGTTGAAAGCCTTCGAATAAGAAGCTGGTGATAGACCACAGTTGAAGTTCAACAACCACCCAGAACAGACTGAACTGAACTGAAGGACGAAACTACAAAGGACATCTTCACGTTAGTCAGCCATCAGAACAAAATGAGAGACACTAAGCAACATCCCCGAGGAAACCTAAGTGGAAGGACACTGGAACTCTTTGAAAGAGACGTGGGAGGGAACCCGCGTAATCGGTATTAGGAAGAAAGAAGAGACAAGAGAAGAGAAGACAAGACAAGATAAGATAAGGAATGTATCTCGACGGACATATGGAAGCTGATAGAGGAGGGAGAGGAGGATGGTGAAGTAGAAGATGAACCAGTGCAGTGCGGTGCAGGGATGAATAACGAAAAGAAGAACTGAACACAACCTATAAACCGCTACACTAGACAAAGAAGTGAAGAAGAGTGTACGGGAAGACAAAAGACATTTCTATGACACACTTGCAAGTGAAGCAGAACAGGCTACGGGTAGGAGAGACAGAGACCTGACAACACTATGTCAAACAACCAAGACACTATCTGTGAAGGGATCAACGCAGATGAGACCAATGAAAGATAGTGAAGTGAAGGAAAGCTAGTTACCACCAACGAAGAGAAACAAAGGAAACGATGGGCTGATCACACCAAAAGACTCTTGAATCGACCAACACCACCACCACCACCACCACCACGACCTGGAACTCTTCCGGAAATACCACCAGCAGCGCAGCCACAGAAGTGCCAGTGAACACAAGCCCTCCGACAGAAGGCGAAGTGATGTCCTGAACGCCATAAAGTTGTTGAAATCCGGGAAAGCAGCAGGACCAGATGGGATTCCGCCAGAAGCACTGGAAACGGACGCAGAGACAACAGCGGACATGCTGACACCACACCATTATTGGAGAAGGTTTGCAATGAAGGAAGGGAAGGTGCCTGCAGATTGGAAGAGGGGGCACCTTGTCTACCTCCCAAAGAAGGGAGACCTAAGTGTTTGCAAGGACTGGCGATGAATCATGCTGCTGTACAGGCGAAACAAGATATTCAGCTGCATCATGCTGGAGAGACTAAAAGATGCGCTGGATTCAAAATTACGACCGGAACAGGATGGATATAAGGCTGGCTGGCTTCAGGAAGAACAAATCATGTGTGGATGAAATTGCAATGCAATGAAATGAAATGGAATGCAATGCAACGCTACGCATCATCATAGAACAGAACGTAGAATGGCAGTCGACTGGATCTCTACCTGAACTTTATCGACTTTGAAAAGACCTTCGACAGCGTCGACTGAGAAGTAATTTGGCAGGCAGCTGCTTCAACAGTATGGTTTTAGTGATACAAACCTTTATTAACGTCATTCAACAGCAGCTATATGCTATGCTATATGATGCTACATGCGAAGTGATTCACAATGGAAAGCTTAGTGATGCCTTTGAAATGTGGTGAAGACAGGAGTAAGATAAGGTTGTCGCCCACTATGAGCGATGATCTTCCTGATTGTGTTCGACTGGACTGGATTGGACTGGATCATGCAGCAACCCGTGAGGAGCGAGAAGGTGGGCACACGCTGGATGGACCGATGAAAAGACTCTAGAAGATTTGGATTTCGCCGACGATGATGATTTATGTCTGATGTCTTGTCACAGAAACTGGGATATGTACAGGCGAAAAGTAGTACGTTGGCAGAAGAGGCGATGTGGGGCAACGAAGACGGGACTTCCTTGAGGTGAACGTGGAGAAGACGGAGGTGATGAAGATGCGCAACCAACAACAGCATCAACAGGAAGAGGCAGCAATCACCATGAACGGGAGAAGTGTAAAGGAAGTAGTCTCTTTCACCTACGTAGGCGAGACAGCATCGTTTCAACTACAGGTGGGGTGGCACAGGCACAGATGAGGACGTCAAAGGCAGGATGGGAAAAGCAAGCAAGCAAGCAAGCAAGCAAGACAGGCCTTTGTGCACTAGTCTGAAATCAGTGTGGAGATCTACTGCACTATACTCAGCACAAAGGACAAGATCCAGATTTTCAATACTAATTCAGTCGAGTGATTCAGTGCTTCTATGTGGTGGTTTAGAGACTTGGCGCGTCACGAAAAGCATTTCCAACAAACTACAGACATTCATCAACATCTGCCTACTCTGGCTCGTTACTGAAGACCAGATGGCCAGAATAATGAGAATAAGCAACAAGGAACTCTGGCCGGGTAATGAACCAACCAAGAACGTGTAGCCCAACAAATATGCATTGGAAGAAAGTGTAGATGGATTGGATTGGATTGGATTGGATTGGATTGGGGATAGACTGAGAAGACGGATTGGGGACATGAGGTGCCAGGTGAGGCCCTGGAGTGGGACCCGCATGGGAAAGGACGAGTTGGGCGACGAGTTGAGGGTGACATGGAGGAGGTGGTGTGAGGAAGAAATGAAAGGTTGTGGGTGGTGGTGGAGCGAGGTTGAAAAGACTGCCGAGAAGAGGGTGCAATGGAGAGATACTATTGAAGCCCTCTGTTCCACTAGGAACCGAATGGAAGAAAAATAAGTTTTTTTGCCGGTGCAATTTTCGGCGCAGATATTGAATTTTATATTGAATTTATGCGTTAATCGATTGTTATATCTTATGGCAATGTCTGTCACTTAGGGCTTGCTTAGAAAATATAACACCTCATTGAATCCTCGCTACTCGAACACTTAGGGTCTTATTAGAGCCTACGGTGAGTTGTTCAGGAATCTATGTTGATCAAGTGGTGTCTGTCAAGTATGGTAACTGTCTCCATTCTTATTCAGTTTCATCATAGATACTCTTATGGAGGTCTCCCTTTCCTCACCATGTTACGCAGACGTTGACCTGATCACAAGATAATTTTCGTTATACCTAGAATACTCAGATGACACAGTCCTGTTAAGTGAAGACGCTGACAAGATGGAGAGTCTTCTGAACACTTCGAGTGGGAATTTGAGAATGTTTGGGATGCGATTTCACCACTCAAATGCAAATTTTTGCTTCAGGACTGGTCTTCAGCGGTGCCGCGGTTAGCAGTAGAAAGTGAAGTGGTTGAGTGTGTTGACCGCTTCAGCTACCTGGGAAGTAGGATCAGCCCTGGTGGGTCAGTTGCCGATGAAATCTATGCGCAGGTACAAAAGGGTGGGCTGGCTTTCGCCAACTTACTCCATGTGTGGGGCCGCTGTGATATCCGTTTGTCCAGTAAGGGTCGCGTGTACTGCACAGCAGTCCGGTCTGTTCTGCTGTATGACTGTGAAACATGGCCATTGAAAGTGGAAGGTGTGAGAAGGCTTTAGGTGTTTGACCACCGTTGCTTTCGTAGTGTCGGCCGTATTCCGTGGTGTCACCACGTGAGTAACGCAGAAGTCAGGTGTAGAGTTTTAGGTAGAAGAGGTGAGTCAGTTGACGAGGTTATGAACCTTCATCGATTGAGATGGTTGGGACACATGTTACGTATGCCTAGTCGCCGTTTGCCTCGTCACACAATGCTGGCCAGAGGAGATCCAGGCTAGAAAAAGGCCCGAGGTGGTCAGACTAAAACATGGCACCAATGCATGAAGTCTCTGACTGTTGGTTTAAGCCATGTAGGACGATGCAGACCAGGTGTTTGGGGTCCGCAGGACAAGAGGAACCAGTGGTTGGAGTCTCTAGGTGATATGGCTCAGAACCGATGTCAGTGGCGCAGATGTATACACACATTATCGTCATTTTAACGATGCTATACCGAATCTGACCATTTTGTCATTCCTCTTTTCTTTCTTCTCGTACTAAATATTTCTTTTGGCTGCATTCTCTTGTCTTAATCCTTCAACTCACTACCTTTCTACTTGATGTACTGTACTGAGCTGTGGCAACCCGGACGTTACACAGTAATGCCTGGTCCTATGTTGATATTGATTGATTGATATTATGCACTCAAACACTAAGAAGGTTTATTTTATGTTACAGGCAGGGAATACAAATGTTTGCATTGTTAGCATTGTCTTCACTCTCAGTGAGTGTAGATAGAATAAACTTTTAGTCATTTACATCAAAACAGTAACATTTTAAAATATTTTTGATGGATATGGTCTCAAAAAGACCAAGATTTATTTTTTCCACTTATTCATTCGTTGGCATTCAAAAACATTAATCAGGATGAAACAGTCGTATAATTTACTGATACTGGGTGATGATGGTGACCACCAAATGGTCGCTAGTTCAAATCCCGCCGCGGTCCAAATTTTCATTTCACCTTCAGTTATCACTCAGTATCAATACGAGTCTGCCAAACTATGGCTGTCTCAGACATTCAAAAAATGACATAATTTATTGTTTATTCGCCTGGAGAATTTATGACTATGCTTGGAAACAGGTGTCTTTTTCACTGTTTAGTTTATTCTATGTGAATGTGTTTAGATTCGTTTATTCATGTGTTTAGTCTCTTTTGGCTCTAGGTTAATCGGACTTATGGATTGACAGATTGTAGTGATATCAATATATATTAAGTGGAATTTAAAAAAAGTTGTACTTCGAACTGTGAGCATAGTCCAAATCTTGTTTTTGATCCTATTGGGTAGTAGTCAGCTGGATGTATATTTAATCAAAAGTTGTTGCTTGTACTTGTGTTCGAACTTCATCGATGATTATCCGTTAGACTACTAAGTGGTGAGGATGCCTCCATTCCTCCAACTTTTTTATTTCTTGATATTATGGAGAACAGAAACCTGGAAAAACATGGGCGCCAGTGGTTGCGCCATATAAAATAATGTTGCAGCGTTCAGAAAACAATGTGATACAGAGAGAAGAGAGAAGAAATCAAAGGGAGAAACAGGCTACTCAAGAAGCAGTTTTAAAGGTACACCATTCCAAAACACACGCTACTTCGCCTGATAATTAATTCCATGGTATTTCAGTCATGCTAGCAAACCTACAATCATAATGGTTGTCCAACACGCAGATTCACTAAGGATTTTCAAATCAGAGAGACCAGGTTTCCTAGGCGTTGAGAGGAAATATATATCCAATCTTTTGCAGAAACCTTAGCGACAAGACGACCTCATAGTTGACCCGTATTGGCTTATGCCGCCTTCGTTTTTGATATGCAATTCAAGATCTTATCAGTCACATTTCCACAAAGACTCTTACAAAAAACAGACAAATCACCACAGAACTTCGCACCGAACTGCGTTTGTTGGAGTTGCCACACTTCACAGTGGCATGCAAGGAACAAGTGTATGAAAAAAGACATATCAAAGTAGGGGAAAATGTACTAGAGAATCAATAATTTGAAGATACAGGTTACTCAAGGTATTCGAGCTTTGGAAGACGCTGGAGAGTGAGTATATCTGCGCCATTGTGACCGATTTTCAGCCATGTCACCAAGCGTTCTCAATCACTGATTCCTAAGATGATACTTCAGGACCGTTTTGCACCTACACCTAGTTTAAGGGTTGGGAGGAAGTGAACTGGTGGAGTGCTTCAACCACTTCACTTACTTAGGAAGTTGCATGAGGCCAAACTAGCAGGTTGCTGACGAAATCTCATCTCGAATATGGAAGGCCGGTCTGGCATTTGCCAACCTGCGTCATCTCTGGTGCTGAATAGCGAGATATCCGACTATCTATCAAAGGACGCGAGCATATTGTACTGCAGCTTGTTTTGTCATCTTATACTGTTAGGTTAGGCTTAGGTTGGAAGAGGGGCTAAACTAAGACGTAGCAGCAGTTGATGAAGTCGCTCTCTGTTGGTGTAAGCCGTGTAGGGAGGTGTAGACTACCTGGCTGTGGTCCCCGAAACGATACACCTTTGTCTAATTTGATATCAACATCTTTCTATCTACTTGTTTTTTGCGTGTTGCTGTGAAATTGGGTAACCTGAACTGATGCACTTGTGTGAAGTTCTACTTTGTTTTTGCATGTGTATCTGTCTATAGAGTTCGGATGTTGAATATTTTGAACCGGAATCTGATGCCTGCTTTGTAGCAGACTAGGGCTGTTGTTTGATTGGCTTGAATCGTAGTACGAAGTTAAGAAAGGTGTTAGAATCCTAATGTTCGTATGACTTCATAGACGCTACTTAGATCAGGAAGAGGATGATAATTGTGTAGGGTTCTCCGAGGTGTGGAGTAGAAAGTGGAGACAAGGGTGAAAAAAGTCAAGTTGTTGTCAGCTGGGTTTTATAGGTTGTTGGAAGCGTGCTGGCCGCTGGTACTTCCTGGCTGTCCATACTGTAGAAGTTGTTTCTACAAGCTATGTGGATGAGAAGAGGGTTCCAGTAGTGGCATCACGTGAACACATTAACTAAGGGACATTTGCTCGGTGTTGGCTACACTCGAGCCTATTGAAGTTTAAGTTTGTTTGTACTGAATGTATTTAAAAACCAGTGTCATCGGGACTGGAAGACAACACGGTAGGGAGGAGTTTAGTACTTTTCAGACCGATGTTTTTTAACTTTCGTTTTTGATAGTTGAGGGAGTATTATTATGAACTGATAGTCATGTGTTGGAGACACCTCATTGCTGTCGGTGTCCATTATACCTTGTTTTCATACCTGAATCATAGCGTGGTTATCCAACGTATAAAGGTCACTGTTTGTGCGGACAGAGTAGCATTTTTGTGGTTGTGAATACTTTTTTTTCTGTATTGTGTAATGGATTCCATGGTTCTTAGCTGTTGCACTTTTTTCATTGAATAGTTTACTATAAACGTATTGAAGATTAAATTGCTGCTTATTTTATCTCACTTTCTTTTCAGTTTAAGACAAAAGGTAACTGTAATTGTATAGCTGACAAAAATGACTCCATACTCATTCATATATTATGAATTTTCAGATGGTTTTGCACTGGTAGTCACCGTATGCCGTTACCATCATATTTCATCATATGCATCTAAAAAGATGTGACTTTTTCTTCCTCTATCTTCTTTAGGTTTATTATAACCGTGGTATATTTCGAAGTTGGGGTGTTTTGGGTGTAACTGATATTCCTCTAACTGGACTCGTCCAGTCATCTACAACGACTCACATTGGTGATTTAAAAGATGGTCGTAAAGTAGTAGGAGGTCGCTTGGAAGTACAATTAAGACAGCGTGAATCGCTTAGTGTACGTTTCTGTTATTATTACTTGTATTTCAATTTTCTCATTGTAATATTTATTTTAGTGGGCTTTAATGAATTCTTCTGAAATAGTTTAGGTGTAAATTGACTTATGAAGTTCAACATCTCAGTTTATATTAAAAATATTGGGGAATTCAAAATGCAGACGATACTCGTTGTGTATTTTTAGTGGAATTATAATTATATATGAATCATTGTTTTCGTAGAATATTTAAATAAATATTATCTATAATTTCTTTTCTAACATTGCTTACCTTTTTATCATTTCAATTTATCCTAGTAATTAAAGTGACTTTATGTAACTTGTTGTACCTTGATTTAGGTTGCAATTTTTGTTGTTGAAAAGGTAAACCAAGATTAGAAAGACTAGTGAATGAATTCTTCTGAGAATTCTAGAAACGCTGCTTTAAGTGTTTCCCGGGATGTAAAATGTTTACTGTACGGTTGCCGTCAACAGTCATTGATGTAACGTATTGATGATCTTTTTTCAGCTGTCCATCTTTACTAGGGCTCTTATTCCACTTCACTGAGAGTTCTGGAATAAACCTTAATGAGGTGGGAAGTTATCAAACCCATGATCAGCACTCTTGTCGAATCAACTGTTGGTTCATATTCCATTTCATAGTGGCACCTTAGATGGCGTAAATTGACAAAGGCCAAACGTGCCTTTTTTTCTTTGTAGGGATTTCGTCGGCCATTGACCCACTTGTTCTGATCTAACTTCGTAAGTAAATGAACTAGTCAACGCACTCATCCTCTTCACTCTATTGTCAGGCGAGGCACTAATGTGGGTGGTCATTCCTGAAACAAGAATTTGTGTTTGAGCAGTGATAAGTGTATTGTCGTTGAATTAATCTACAAGACTCTATATCTTGTCGGCATCTATACTTAAGATAACTACGTTATTTATGTACTCTAGGTCTACTAAGGAGTCGCCTTTGGAGAGGTCAATTCGTGTCATAGTCAAACAAAGAGGAAAGTAAGATCTCCATAACATGTTTATGGCGAAATTAAGTAATAATTGAAAGGGTGGACATCTCTGATGAACACCACTCGATGTATAAAAGTCATACTATACCTCACCGTAGATTCAACACGCCCACGAGTGTTAGAATACAGAGCCTTTAACTGTTTTTCTTCATTTTTACTTCTATCTCTGTCAATATAGTTTATGAATGGAACAATCTGTTCAACATATAGGACGTCCAAGTTATTCATATTAGGTACAATAGTGTTTATTCAATTATCTCTTGCAGGAAACTTTCGGTGTAACTACACTTTTCTTGATTCTTGTCAGTTCATTATAAAAGTCTTTGACACCGTTATTGAGTTATAACAGATGCTTCAGTCCATGTAAGGTTTATTAGTGTTGTTTAGAGAGATTGACATTTGAGTAGAATTTTCTGAAATATAGTTTACGTTTTATCCTTAGGTTTGAAATGGAGAATATGTCACGTCTTATTTTTCTTAATGAATTTTCTAGGGAGAACCTATCATTTATCAACAACAGCCCTGGCTTTTACTTTCCGTGTCAAAACAAACTGATTCTCGAAGTTGAACGCTCTTTGGACATGTTTTAACGCTAAATTGATTAGTGATCACATATATACTGATTTAAGTTGACCGAACAAGCATGTACTCCTGATACTGATTTTATGAACTTACCATTATCCAGAAACTCTGAGTACTCTGTGGCTCATTGGTTTAAGCAGTTGACTTCCGACCAGTAAGTCATGGGCACAAACAGCGCTCCACCAACCGGGGTTTGGGCCCTCAAGTAGTATTCCATATTAGATTTGTTAATTTGATTTATAAAACACAGTGATATAGTATTATTTACTTGTTAACGTTTTGAGGATAAATTATTGCTCATAGTCATATCAATGTAATTACACTACTTCCGACATTTGATTGTCATAGTTATGTCACTTCATATGAGTTGTTTTTATTGGTAGTAAAATTTTCCATATCTCTGGTATGGGTGTTGTATCATTTCCATTACATGTGTTGGATGATGATTCGATGAACAGAGATTCAGTAATCAATCTCTCTCTGCACCTAATTATATTGGACTTAAGTAAAGTGGTTTTATCCCACCATATTGTGTAGTTGTGTGTTAATACATGCATTGGAATAGCCGAGTTTTTCTCTAGATTATTATTCTTATTGGGGTCTGTCATTCTGTTTAGCGAAATTCCTATGTTCGGCTATTCTAACTGACCCCAACCGGTTAGTTTGACCTATATACTTCACCTCACAATCATTACATGGAATTTGATAGATTATATTATTTTACTGAGTTGGTTCGATCGGATCTTTAAGCAGACAAAACTTATCTCTGAGTGAGTTTGAAAGTTTAAATCCCACCCTAATTCCAGCTTTGTTGAGGATCCTTGGTAGACTTTCTGATGTACCCTCCTTACATGGTGACACAACGGAGGCTGTGAACTCCTTTCTAATCGTGTTGTCGTTATTATTCGTACTTATGTTACTCTTATTACTTCGTTTCTTGTGTGTTTGTACGAATTTCTTAATAAACTGTGAAGGACACTCATTAAATGTTAGCGCTTCTTTTATATGCTTCAGTTCCTTGTTTAGGTTCTTGCACTGAGTAATCAGTTTTCTAGCTCTATCATTTGGACATTTGACTAAACCTGCCTTAACTGACATTGGATGAGATGACACGAAGTCTAAATACCTGTCAGAATGTGTCGGTTTTCTGTAAACGGTAGTATCCAAACAACCGTCTGTCTTCGTTTTATTCTGCAATCCAACATAGGGAATTCTCCTTGTTCATCTTCTACCTCGTAAGTGAATTGGATTACGTCCACTACTGAGTTTATATGTATTAGGAATTGTCGATATGTTGCGATTTCAACATAGTGAATGTGTCATCCACATATCGCCCCAATATGTCAGGTACGGGACTATACGTTTTTTAAAACCATGCTTTCCCAACTATACATAAACATATTGAGGATATTGGTGATCTCATTGGTGCTCCTTCTGTTTGTCTATATGTTTTGTCCTGAAACTTAAAAACTGTGGAGGTGTGTGCGCCCTATATGATGCCATCAAACGATAACTTAGTTCTGTGAGTAAGTTCCTAGTCAATATTTAGTTCATTTCTGACTGCCTCCAGTGTCATATTGATTAATATTTTAGTATAAAGACTTGTTGCATCGAAACTAGCCATTTTTTATTCTTCTATACGTAGGTTATTAAGCCTTAGTCTTAACTCGTTATGGTTTACTAGTCTGGAATTCGAATACTTTCTAATCGGATACAATATCGATGCTAAGTACTTTGCTAGTTCATATGTTAGGTATTTATGGAGTCAACTATGGGTCTAATGGGATAACCTGGTTTATGAACCTTAATAGTACCAAGTAGCATCTTAGAACTTCATACAATAAGTGTAGTTCACTGCTTAATGCACGGATATCCACAAGGTTGCTAAGGTCATTTCGAAATATTAAAAACTGATTTATTTGTGCATCTACACTGTAATGAAGCAAACCGTCAATTACATACAAGTGTCAAGTACAAGATTAAGACTTAAATCAGTGACTGATGTCTTGTCAGTGAGTGTAAGGGCACATGGCTATTCAGTGTGAAATCTATGATATTGTTTCATAAAGATGATATCAAATGCCACCTGATTATAAACATGCATGTCTTCGTCTGATGGTAGTTGATTTATGTACTACTGACAAGTATAACATACTGAACAGATTCTTTTTGTTGCAGGTTTCAATGATTTTTTAAATATCTGCTTATATATTTATCTCAACTTGTTCAATCATTTCTAACTTATAAAAAAGTGAGGAAACATTTGTTTTATTTTGTTTCTTTAACCAAAATTCTTTTTAAACGACCTATACTAGTAAGTAAAGTTAGTGACAACTTTAAAACAAGGAACTAGAAGTAGATGACACTTATCGATTTTATAAACTGCAATTCTTAAAGAAACTGTTAAACTTCACACCACTTAATGTCCATTTGCTTTCCTATTGGGATCATCAATTAAATAAAGTCTGCCACCCACTGCTACTGTTGGAGTTAATCTGAATCAAAAATAAAGCAATCCAAAGTTTTCATTCAATAAGCAATTGAGTTATTTCGTTTCCAAATAAATTGTGTCATCACGTTGTGATATGTTACCTCTCTAATTATATTACTGATACTTTTTCATAATATATTACATAGGCCAGACAATTAGATAAGAGATTGTATTTTTAACACAAATATTAAAATAATTAAAAATAAGTAATCACATACCGCTTAATCCTCATCATGATTTAATTTTTATGCCATAGGGTGAAGAGAATTTTATTCACTACTTCTTGAATGTTAACGAATAGACAGATTATTCAGTAGCAGTTTAGAATAAAGCTTAGATGGCTATTCATTCACTAACTGTGTCAGTGGGTTAATAACGCATCACTTTGTGGAAATGGATAATGTTGTTGAATTCTTGACATTTTAATCTCTAAGAGATGCAACGTAAATCGGCGTTGACTGCCTTGTATAAATTAAGTTTGCAGTAGAAATACGAGAACTGACATGAGGTGTTATAATAAATGATCAATAATGTAGGCCATTGTATACGTATGTGACATACTGCAACAAAATACAACCTGAATCAACTGTGTGTCGGTACAAACAGCCTTATTTCATATCTGTATAGGCAACGGGATTCATTAATGAGTTGTTTATTCAGTATATTAATGTAAAGAATTATGATGTTTAAACAGGAAAAGCGAGATGTGAGAAGAAATGAAAGGTATGAAATATTATGTGATTTTAAATTTTTAAGAAAGTTTTTTCGCTGATGGATAACTCTGCGATGTTTAGACTCACTTCTGATCATATTGGCTGTTATCTGCGAATATCTATTTTCATTGCCTCGTATACACAAAATTGAAAATTTTCATTATACAAACTAACATTCGAAATTTCGTGGATTGTTTCTATATTTTGATCTTGTTCATATGAATTTTTCATTCTCCTCTTGTCAGTTTTATTCATGCTGTGGCTAGGTAGGTCTAATGCCTATCCTAATCATTTCAGTCTATATAGGTCTGTAACAGTAAACATACAATAACGCAGTAATGAGATTTGATAATGATCTTCCTGTGATGAAACGAAAGCTCGTAAAAAGACTTTATTATAGATACGAAGAAGATAAACGGAAATCTTTTCAAATTACTTGTGAACGATTTCCAAGCGTGATATGATGGCTACCTTTTTCTACTGAATGCTTGGTTAGCACTTCGAAGTTTGTCAAAATAAAATCGAAATTATTCTCGACAAACTGTTTTTCTGAAGTGAAACGCCTTATATATATTTTTTTTCATATAGGTTGTTAACTATTCTTTTTTCCTAATTCGTTTTTCGCATAGAAAATTATATTAGATAATAAAACGTTGACTTCTTTATTGACTCGAACCCATGGGACCTTGAATATTTTCGTTAAGTCAGTTTCAGGCTACAGAATGTACCTTTAGGGAGATATTCAGAAAACTATAAGCAGGTATAATGCAGCTACTTATTTCTGTAGTAATTATTTTACAAAAATAGAATGACATGAAAACTACTGTTCACAAAGTCACTAATCATTGGTGCTATTCGTCTGGGTTAACTTAAGTGGACTGACAGGTGTTCATTACAACAGGAGTGAGCGGAATATGTGATCCTAAATTGACTTCATTTAATTCTCTTCGTTTCTCTTGATCATTCCACTTTTCGAAATCATCTTTTTATGTGTTCTCTACAAGTGTGGTCATTTGAAATGCTGTACGTTGATGTAAGCAATCAGTCAGTGGTTTGTGGTAAACACAAGTTTGATGGAGACGTTATTATCGAGCTGTACATAAAACTGAATTATCCCATCTATTAGAGATAACTGTTTTTTGTGTTTTACTTTTTCATCCTGTATTCTTCTCTTCTGTTTTTGAAAAACTGTTCAATAATAGGGAAATTGTTCGAGACTGTTTTCTACAAGTAATTCCTGCTACTGATATCACATATCAAGGAATATATCGAAAACAATTTACGGTGAGTTATTTTAAGTGTTTCTTCCTATGTGGCTCATCAGTTATTTGCTGTTGATATTCCTTTAGTTGTAAAATGTGTAAAAAAATACCAGTTGTATGGGATTAAAACAAAACTGTTTTGTAAAATCAGTATTTTTATATACTTAATGCTTTCCCATGCAACAGGAAACACTGTAGACTGTGCACTTCTAGTCATTGGTTAGCATACTGTTCATTGATTCAGGCCTGGTGTGTACTACAATCGATACTGTGATTGGATATGATACGTGAGACACGAAATAATCAATGTGTTAAGTGCCTAAATGACCTGCTTATCACATTCATCAGTTAGTCGCATAATTTGAGTTTACTTCAAACAACTGATGCATTACCGCAATCATCGTGTAGGAAAAAAAAATACAAGTTCCATCAAATCAGTTATCCGATTGTTTTTTCTGTTTTCAATGCAGAATGATACGAAAATCACTGTTCAAGACAGTTTTTACTCTGTAATGAAGGTAATTTGTTACAACGTTAATGTCCTAATAAGAATTACTATCATTTACGAAACCCATGAGTAATCAAACTATCTCATGCATGATAAACTACTAGTTTCTACAAATAAACAACAATTCAATGTGAAACTGAAACAAATATCTACACTCTGTGAGCTCTTTGTGCCCCATTCCATCGACTGCTCCTGTTATCATCTCTTTAGAGTTGACTGACACAGATCCAGGTTGTCTACGTAAATAATATGACTATTTTGGGCACATCCATCGACCGTTGTATGGTTTTTAGCATTGAAACCAATCAGATGGTAACTGGAAAACGTTCTGATCAGTAGTGTGGGTAGGTATCTGACTACTTATTTCATCTGGTGATATATGTAGGGAGTAAGGAACTTGATAGTCAATGAGAACGAATTTTATAAGACATTTAAATCACTTTTCATGCAACAGTTTTGTTCTTACTAACTTAATAACACACAGTTACTGGCCTAATCTCATTTTGCACCTAAGAATAAATGTAATTTTTAAAAAACGCTTGGTTATAAAGCTTTTTTATTGATATTGAGTAGCTTTAAGTAATTGTTCACTTCCTATGCTTTGTCTTCTCTTCAACACTCAGTCCATATTTTCTGTTTGGAGATTTGTTTATCTGCCACTAATTTTTCTGCACCTCATCTTTAGCCGAGCTACTTATTTTTCTTTATATGTAGTAATATTTCACTGAATTTTTGACCTATGGCAAATGAGATTCACAAGAGCTAAGTTTCTTACTGGTGCAGTTGCCGATTACCATCTTCCCCAGCATCCTCCCTGATTTTATCGAAGACTGCTCCTATAGTATTGTTTTTTCATAAGCAGAATGATTTTCCGTATGAAATATACGTCGAAAAACAGGCAAAAGTGGTTTGATTATATGTATATTTTGGAATGAACCCACCTTGTGCTAACCGTTTTTCTTTTCTCTTTCCTGGTCTTCATTGCATATTTTCCTCGGTTTACTTTATGTTTGTCTTCTAAGAAGAATAACCTCATCAACCGGTCATCTACTTTTATCATGATACCCTCTATGAAACGGAATGATTGAATGCTCGTGCACATTTGTCAATATTTTAAAAACGTTTTCTCCGTTGCAAGATTAATTCCCTTTTCTATTATTTTCCATCCTCAAAATAACTTCCTAAGTTTCTTCCCAAGTGGTTTAAATGCATTACCTATGCATTGTATCTTAATGACAGTTACTTAAACACAAAATGTGAAACCTTTTTTGCGCTATGTTTTCGTATACGTACCCTCTGGTAACTTAATTTTCAGGAGAATGTTCAGATAAATGACTTCTTTAGATAATTTCTCGATATTTTCCTTTGAGACATCATATGTGCTATATAGATGAGATATCCTGGCTTAAAATCTTTCCGTCTCAAGTTTGATAAAAACAAAACGTTGCATACAGAAGTCAAATGAATTGTGTAAGTTTGGACACAGAATAAAGTCAAATGTGTAAAATGTAGAAAAAAAAAGAAGTTTGATTCCAAATAAAGTGGTTTATTCGTCATCTTAAGTTTACCTGTTTTACATTTAATTGCAACGCTGATGCAGTTGAGAATGAGTTCTACCATCAAATGAGTAACCTTGCTATACAGAGTGAGTTCAACAGATATCATACTACTAGCTGGAGAAATAAATGGCCAGGTGAAGCGTCTAGATACATAGAAGTCTTTTCTGGGTGACCGATAGGTTTTGGTCGGTTGCAAGTCAGATAATGAGAAACTTTTCCTGTAGTTTTTGATTCTGGCTAGCACCAAATCCTACTGTATGGTATCTGAAGTCTTTTCTCTGCAAATCAAGCCTGGATTTAAATACGTCACATTGCCATCAATCACCTGTAGTATAAGTGCACTAAGGACAACTGTTCATTCTGCAGTACTTATCAGAACTCCGATCACGCTTTAAGTTGTACAAAAATCATCTTGTCTTTTGTTGGTCATCATAATAATCACCACAAACAAGTCGAACATGAAGAAAATCTTTGCAACTAGCATTGCAAATCAAAATGAACTGAACTAGATTGAAGGCTAGCTGTCAAACCTCCAGAAAGTATAAATGAGCGTTAGCTGAACTTGAGAGACGGTAAGAAAACGCCAAGTGGAAATGCTAGTGATTTTGTATAAGGTTCTGCCAACAAACAATGTTTGTGTGTGAAGTGATAGGAAGTGGTCGCCGCTCGTTGGTGTATTCCGACAGTCAGCGAGTTCATTGGTGTGTGAAAGTGCCTAACGCATCAGACCAGGTAGGAGGAATGTGGATATTGTGAGACAGGATGTTCGTAATGCGCTATTGAGATTCCGCTGAAGGCAGCAACAGTTGAATGTGATAATAATCGCCAGGTTTTCGGGCCTATCGAGGCTGCTGGAAGTGAGAAAGGTGGGGTCAATGAGATGACCTTTGAAGTAAACGGTTCACCAAACACTGAAGTTTATGAGTTTCAGTAACGGTGAATGGAGCACTTTGTAAAACAGTTCAGTTGACCTACTGCTCCGAGAAGTGAACTGATGAAGCGGAACTTGGAGACTTCAAGGACTAAAGTCGTGAAAGTCATACAGCTGAGACAACTAACATCATATTTTTTTGAAAGTATGTAGTGGGGGAAATTGCCCAACTTGTTTTGAAAGATTTGAAAAGGTGAGATTGTTCATTCACTGTGCAGTGGTTTCATTGTTATGGTTATGATTAGGATGGGGTTACTTAATGTATATGATAATCCTCGGCGTATGAGTCACCTACTGGTAGCGTCTGATGTGAAGCTTCTCAAGCTGTGCGAAACGTGTGAGGCAGTGATGCGTGATGAGTAGACATACGTTTTATCTGAGTTATTGATCATTTATCACGTGTTCGCCCTTCACCAGAGACACACGTATTGGAATTGTGTGGCTGGAGTTTTTGTTGGTGTAATGTCATCCTTGGATTTGTCGATCATTAGTGTATTGTGAGATTGTTTGTTGGTGAGTGAGGTTGTTTTGAAGATTTTCAGTGTTTTCAAGGTTTTATGCAAAAAGCCTACGGATGAAGTGTTGGGATACAGTCACTTTTCTGCAATGTTCTGAATGAATAGCAGTGTTAGATATGGTTGTCATTTTTCACTGTTTCTTGTTAACTTTACCATTGATGAGATTCTTGGGATAGCTGTGAATGACATACGTGGTGGTGTTTTCGACCTGTTACGAGATGGAATACTTTTCACGGTCGATTATGTGCATGATATTTTTCGCTATATGACAACATTTATGCTGCTCAAATTTCACAGAGTCAGTTCGCAAGCAGTATCTGTAAATACGATGTGTGCTTTCCACTTCAAACTCGTAATGAATGAAATAGGTGGTTTATCGATTATGTATACCAATTAATGAAGACATTTCTATTTCTAGATGTTTTACTGTATCTGATGGTGTTGATGCTTACTAATGAGATGCGAAGAAAGGTTTGTAGCTAGTAGAGACTATAGGCGACTGAATTTTACTTCTTGTAACTGTTTGATTCTGTTTTACCTAATTTACTTATGTCGGTTGTTAAACTGTCAAAGTCAAGAATAATAGTTTTTAACTACTTACTTTAATATCATGAAAGTAATTTTAATATAGTTTCTATTGTCATTAGTGAATCGTATGACGATGACCTTGTTAGTTTATGAAAGCTAATTAGACATAATTAGTTTGAAGAATAAGTCGGCTAACAAACGAGTTATACAAAAAAATTATTGTATGTACCATTTGACAATTTATATTTCGACCCTTTATAAAACTCTAAATATTCTGTTAAAGAAGCTCTGTCATACACAGCGAAACGCTCAGAGAAATCTTGTTTTCGTTTTCCAAACACACTAACGTTATATTAAAACTTATGTATATAATGATTAAATCAGACTAGGCACTCAAATTCTTCCTCGATGGTATTACAGACTATGGACGTAATATTTATAATATTTACTTAATTATTTATTGTTGTTTAAAATTCCCCATTGATTATTATTCCTCATTGTTTCAATTGATCTCTTTTGGCATATGGGCTCCTTGAAAGAATACTCAGTGTTTCAGTAGTCTAGTGGATATCACTGAGTCATATAAAATGGTGGGCGCTAAGTTTTAGTCTCATTTGGGAACACCATCATTTACGGAGTTGAATCATACCCAACTGACGAGTCTCAATAGGATGAAACGTGTATCCTAATCTTCCGTGCTGGCCACCAATAAGCACATTATTCACTGGTTTGTTTCACAGATAATTCCTAAATAATCTTAAATTAATGCACCATACGTGTGAATAGTCCCCAATAGATGTTATTATCAAGAAGATATTTACCCATAGACTAAACATATGATAATATTTGTATTTGGTGGAAATAACACATAATGAAGAATAGATGTTTATGAATGAAGTAAGAGTATTCACTTTTCTATTTCATGTTTATTTGGTAATGTTGTCCAAATGGCATCATCGATAAAGTACTAAGAATAACTGACAACATTTCAGCCTCCTTCCTACTCTTTCCCTATTAAACAATGGAAAGCTAAGAAATTTTTTTAACCATTATTCGACTTGTTAACGCTGTGACGTTACGGTACATTTAAAGCATTGACTAAGAATAATACTTCGTTTTTGTTCTGACTTTTATATTTGGTCATAAACATTTCGTAAACAATTAATGAAAGAATTCTTAATCAGACATTAAACCTCGAAGAAAATCATGAACACTGTAAAAATTTAGTGTAAATAACTATTAATTTATGAGGTCAGCATACAACCACAGCATTGTGAAGTGTGATTTAAAGACATTTTATTGCATACTACACAGTGATAATAGGCAACTTATTAAAAAGGTTTTAAAACACGTTTATGTGTATGTAATCATCTTCCACTCACACAATAAAATATAGTAGGTGGTTGGTTATATTATCATTAAGTTTACTGGTGGACGATTACGAGTAACTGTTATTCAGGCGCATCATATCTATCAAGCTACCGACGAGTTAACATTCATCTAACTGCTAAACCATTTGACAAAAAGATAACCAATACAGTTGAAAGCCAGTCTTTGTTCAAATGGAAGATGATATTTCAAAATAAAGTCTAAATTTGTTTTTGCTAGAACCTACCCAGCTGCTAAACTTGTTCTCGTTTATAGCAATCTGTCACTTGAATACCCTTCTCACGTGCACTTGCCGAAGAACGCATTAAGGAAAGACAGAAAATAGGGTTGCAATCATCGCCTTCGAACGCATTCCGAAAAGTCTTCATATAATAGGATCTTAGTCGTTTACACCTGATATCACTTGGCATTTAATCGTTTCTGGATAAGACGTGGATACATCAGCTTCCTTTAAAATAATAGGGAAGCATAGAAATTAAATCTAGTTTTGTATTCATCTTAGAGACTAGCGGTGTGAACCAAGATACAGATTTCACCCCATTGGGAGATTCAGCAAGATGTATCTATACTCCAGTAAGTGATGTTGTTCTCACTAGGTTAGAACCCAGTACCCATCGCTTCAAAAGCCAAAGAGGTATCTACTAGACCACTGGGGCATAAGAGCAACCACATACACAATGGATATCACTTTTTGTTTACTGATATTTGTACTCTCTCGTTGCTAAAATGGTCAAATTACTCGACCTATGTTGGCGGATGGGCTCCTATGCGGATGCCTAGATACTGTTGAGTATTCATGGTGTTGTACTCAATAGTTCACACATCATTCAGTGACCTAATGCGTAACGCTCTGACGTTTGAAGCGATAGGTACTAGATTTCGTTCATAATAAGGACTACATCACTTACTGGGAGGTAGGTACATTTATCTGAGCCTCAAATTAGACGAAACGCATGTGTTGAATTACACTACTATTCAGAAGATGAATAAAGTACTATGAATATTCGGTCATATCGAAACATTCTCATTGGAATCCATCTACTAACAGAGGTCGAGCAATTCTACTCTCTATAACAACGGGAAATTACAAGTATCAAACAACAAATGCAATCTAACTTCGCAGTTAGGTGGGTTCAATCTGACCTCTGTGTTCAAAAGGAGACTACAGCTAATTAGGTAACAGTTATTCAACCGAATAATATGACCTCTTCGCATATCATCTCAACCTACTTCCTTTTCAACTGTTTGTAAACAGACATCTTACATCATTGTTACTTATAATCATGATACTATCAATCATCATTCCTCCCTCTTAAAAACCCAACAGAACTTTTCATGTTTTTTACCGTTTAACAAGAATGTGTTTTACATTTTCGCTAATTCTGTGTATTTTTAAACTATCAGCAGCCGAAGAGAAACAGTTGATTAAATTGTAAACCTATATATTAGTGTAGAGCCCAAGATGAAGACCTAATTGAAAAAGAATATATTTCTTCGCTCAATTAGTCTTTTTCTAAATCTTTTTTCTCTTGCTTTGATGAAAAGAAATCTTTTAAACTCTTAAGAAATGATGATTAAAGTACAAAAAAGAACACTTGCAGAATGATTTGACTGAAAATTGGTCTTCGGTATCATCGTGATGCCCTGCCAGCTTACGGATTACCGCTTATGTGCTCTACTGACCAAGCTTGTGTTTATGAAGTGAGTCAATTCAGAGAGCTATTTCTACTTGCCTCTCTACATGTCCCCAAGTAAAATTAGCACTTAGCATTCATAGTTCAGGCAATCACTTGGAAATAATTATTCCCTATACTCACCAGTAAGTTTGCAATAACTAATTGCCTCATTTTTAATAGATCTTTGGTTTCTATGATACAATGTTGATTAACTGGTAGTGTACACTATTTTTATCACCATTTGAATGTTGTCTTTTTCAGCACCATTCTAGTATTTTTAGATAGTTCAAGATTCACTTTTATTTATTTTTTAGGAGTTAACAAAATATCACATAGCTAATCCATCAGTACCATTTACTGTTTCTGATCGAACCCTTTTCATGCAGGTATGTTACAATAACTAGGTTTCATATTTTTCTATACAGTGAGTAATGTATATATGTATATATATATATATGTTACCTCATTGGAATGATCTGAAAACAGCTCTTATCCATAGGTTTTCATTTTTGCCTGTTTAGATTTATCAAGGGAGAAGGAAAGCATGCTTCCCTTGTAATTCAGTATCAGTCAGAATTGTTACATTCATTACTGTATTATTGAGTCCTGCATTATTGGTTTAGATGCATCTACCGCTCTTCTGATACCAAGCAGTATTATACTTTATCATTGCGTGTTAATTGGCATTTACCGATCGTATTGAATATTATAACCAGCTGTTTTTAACGGAGACAACATTTAAAACTTTTATGTACTGAAAAACTGCTTCTTCACAACGCGGGGTCCCTCAGCAGTGCCCACCCGCAACCTAACCAGGGATCGTAGTCAGGACCTTCGCGGTGAGCACATTGTCCTTGAGCCAGTGGGTTAGAATATTAACATTTTTCTACTTCTGTTGGTTCATGACATAATGCAATCATCATTCAATGTTATCCAGATTGATTGACCCAAAAGGTTATGACTTCTCACTAAGATTCAGGGGAATCAACTTCAAAGTTCGCAGCTAATGAGCAAAGTTTTAAATTTAGAGGTTTATGCTTTTTGGCTTAATATGGTTCTCTAATTCATGTCAATCTATGATGAATAATACCTTAAAATCAGTCAATCTACACAAATCTTCAAACTGAAATATTTTCTACATTGTTTTGGTGTTATTTCGTATTGACTACACAATGCAATTGTTATTCTTCCTAACTTATCATTATTTATTCACTAGATAACGAAGAATCTAGTCATCCCTACTTGTTGTATCTTTCAGTCATCCTTATTCAATGGAATTTTGTTTCATTCAGCAAAATCCTGTATTCTTTTATTCAGTTTCCATTGGTTTTAAGCTTTGCCTTAGGCGATATAGACAGAGCGTTGCATCATTCGTTCATGTACTTGCAATGTTTGCAAGTGGAGATGAAAATAGCATATTTAGGTGATAATCCATCCTGAAATTCCATCATGATTTTTTTTTTAAAGCCAAAATATTCAGATAAAAGCATTTGATCTGCATAATACTGCTGTTGGCACCAAGACGACAGTCCTCACTACTCTTCGGTGTACAATTATCCATAAAGCTGTTAATTAAAAACCATGAGTGTGAATTATGAGCTGTTTTTAAATCTTGTCGAATTATTCTTGACCCTGAATGTTAGTTATACTCTTTATACTCTTTCTGACGAGTCCCTAGTAGGACGAAATGCGCGTCTTGGATTTCACTGCTAGTCACTATCTATCACTACTAGGTTAACTCGTTTTTAATCAAAATCATCAACAGTGTATATGGTTTCTTCCAATTAGCATGACTGAGTGTGCTCAAAACTGAAATCCTAAAAATTAACTTTATCCTATTCTCTCCCTTTAGTCTATAAACCAAAATTTAAATATTATCCGATTAGAGTGTATTAGGGACAGGAATCCAGGAAACAATCACTTCTCTACAGTTGGGTAGAGATTGTACGCACAGTTGAAAATAAATCTATCCTTCAGTCAACATATTTTCACAATACTCAAATATTCGTACGATGCCATATAGTTGTTCATATGACTAACACTAAAAACCATAAAAAGATAACGATGTAAACTTGTAACAGTTCTACATGAGAATATTTCGATTGTTTAATTACTTGTTTGTCTTGTGTACTGTTTCTTTCAAGATGGTTTTAAAATGCGCTGATATAAGTAACCCGTGTCGAAATTGGCCTGTGTGTGAGGAATGGGCAAAACGTGTCTGCACTGATTATTTTGTCAAGGTGATCGAGAACGCTTTCAATGGTTACTACAGCCTATACCAGTTATGGATCGAACAAAATTCACTTTACAAAGATTACAAATTGGTTAGTGCCAGTTATTACTTTATTTTTATGACAAGAGAATAAATTGTCCTTGGAAATTTGGATTAGATAATGTTATTCGTTTTTTTCCCTTCTATTTGATAACTTAAAGCGTTAGCCTGGTTATTGATCTTCAACATTTTATCATCATTCACAAGACGAATTTATCAACGCGAAAAAGTAAAGGTATTTTAACTTACATGAAGTTTATTGGCATAATTTTAGGTGTTCTGAAGATCAACTTACCATTTTTGAAGCCGACATCTGGATGATATATAAGATCTAATAAAAATTATTCTTAACATTCATATCTGAAAGATGTAGGTTATTTGGAACGTTGATGTGTTAGTGCAGTTTACTTCGACGAATCTGGTCACACACTTTTGATGGACATTTAGATGATTCATAACAGAGATTAAAATAATTGATATTACGATTATTATTTTTTATTATTATCTGTCCTTTAGGTTCCTAGTGGAACGCAGGGCTTAAGTGGCACGCCTAATATACTAGTTCACTAGTTTACTAGCCGGCCCGAAGCCCGGATAAAGAGAGAAGGTTGAGCATAGGGCTAGCAACCCTACACCGTAAAACCAATTTGGCCGCTAAAGAAACTTTAAAATACAGAGTAAATATAAAAATAAACTTATTCCCCGCTGGGATCGGTGAGACGAAATGATGCTGGTTGATGAAAGCGTTCTCGAAGCCAATTGGTCGATGTGTCTTCTCTCTCTCTCGATGAAAGCGAAAGTAAACATGAGGACATGGAATGTCCGAAGAATATTTGAAACTGGCAGGCAAGGATGCCTAGATTGCAAGAGAGATGAGAAGATATGGCACAGAAGTGTTAGGAATCTGCGAAAGCAGATGGAATGCAAGTGGACTCTCCAAACTGCCAGAGTCAACTGAAGTCAGAGGCAAATGGAGAGTCAATAATCTACTCCGATATTGTTACCCAGACGACAACCACGAGCACACTGAGTTTCGGAGTGGCTGTCATGATATCTCCAAAAGCATCGAAGGCTCTCACGGAGTGGGAACCAATCTACTCCAAACTGATTTTATGAGGGGTCAAATTATTAGTTTAGAGGTCAAATAGTGTTATATTAATCACCCTTGATATCAAGACTGAAATACCAACCGAGGTTTAATGGAAAGAAAATTTTGTTTGAGTGCTCAAGTGATGCCTGCCGTACCCCAGTGGCCTGGTAGATAACACCTTGACGTTTGAAGCAACGAATACTGGGTTCGAGTCTTGGTGGGAACAATACTACTCACTACAGTGCAGGCACATTCAGCTGACAAGTCCTAAATAGAATAGAAATCGTATCCTGGATTCTACTGCTAGCCATCAAATAGACTACGCGTCTAAGCTTCCTTATAACTAGACTTTAGACAAACCTAAGTATGTGCTCTTAATATGTTTTGTAAATAAATTTGAAAAGTGTATGGAAATCAACCTCGTAATCCCTTTCAGCGACATGTTTGGGTATAGATGAAGTTGGAAATCTGTTACCTGAGTCAGTGGGATCATTGAATTTCACTTCCTACTTCAGCCATTTCACAGAATATGTTCTGTGACAATGATTTGAATAGATTGTCAGGTCCTCACTTTGCTTGTGTGACCACATGCACATGTAAAACAATCAACGCAATTAGATATGATCCTGTCGTCTAAATTATGCAGAGGTTTACAAGAGTTCATTAGTTTCATTTTCTATATGATTCTTATATTTGTTGACTAGTATGTACTCTGGATAGGTGCCATAAGTTTTTGTTTGGTGGTCAGACTTTGGGACTCATGCATACACGGTAGTGTGGTGTATACATCTTTCTTGGAACTGACTAACATTTGTTCTTCTTCAGGCTAAGGTTGGTGTGAAACAATGCTTTGATGAACTTCTGCATTACTTCCTCTAACGTGTCACTTATGTATATTCTTTGGGTTGGGTTGAAAAGACACTTGAGTGCTGCTCGAGTATGCAGAAGTCGACAGAAATTATAGCAATTGGGATACTTTCTTGTACATGTAGATTTCCGATATCTGGACCATTTTGTTGATCCATCTTGGCAGAGAGTTGTAAGAATGTTTAGGAATGGTAGGGGATTATCATTTTCCAACATGTTGAGGATTAGCTACTCTGAAGTTTATTCATTCTCCTGAGAATTAATATAACATCTTCCAGCTTATCACATATATTTATATTGTCTTCTACATATTTTTATAGAAAGAAACTGTACCAATCAAATTTTCACTAGCTCTTATTCGTTTGTACTTAAACAAGAGCCAATTTACACAAGAAACCGAACGAATCGCTTTATGACAACTACATAAGTGTGTGCAATTTATCCTATGTGTCATCATGCGCTTACCTTATCATTCGAACCAAAATTTTGTGTTCCCCAAATGAAACCATTGGATCTAGTAATCCATTCACAGTTTTTGAGAATCTTTACCATCAAATTAAATCGTTTCCAAACAATATATGTAGATAACAACATAATGGTGTGTGATAGGCTCGAAGATGCCATTTCGATTCTCAGTCGAATGAATAAATTTCAGAGTAGTTTATCCTCAACATGTGACAAAACAACGACTGTAAACCGTTTTTAGACATTCCTTATCCATTCACATATACTTCATTTTAAACATAGGTAATCTTTGTATTGTCATTATATAATTAAGTTTTAATCCAATCCCGGCGTGTTAAGAAAATCGAAAACAAGATTTTTTCGAACGTTTCGCTCTGTGTGCTACATCTTTTCAGAAGAATAATATAATTATATAATGGTTAAACCTGACTCGGCTCTCAACTTTTTTCAGGACATTAGTAATCTGTGTGTTGTTTTCGTTTTAAATTACTTCTTGCCACTATTACAGACTCTTTCAGTTTGAGACAGGTTCATTTGGGCACTGACTTGTATCTTGTGTTCCTTTGCATCTAAATATTGAAAATTTTATTATCCTTGCCTTCGTTCTATGCATTTTCTTTTGTTTTCATTAGAAAATTTTATGAAACTGCTGATATTGTTATTAACATTGTTGCTTCGTCTTTCTGCCTTTTTTTCAAATTTCCTATTTCCACATCCTAATGAAGGGTTTAGCAGGTTGATCCGATACACGCTTACATCAGGTCCAATGTTGGTGATATCTTTGCGTTTCGAACCTTATTATGTTACTCCATGTTCATCAGAATTCAAAAATGTCAAGTTGTTTTTTAAAATATATTGGTAGTCAACCTATACTCACTTATCAGATTAAATTAATGCTTTGATAGACTTACACACGTAGAACACCATATATTAGAAAACTCCGAATTCTATTTTGAAATGTATACTTTTAAAATAAAAAAGATATGACTTTTGACGGTTCTACCTGAGGTAGCTATGGTTTGACAGATTGGTTTGATTGATACTGAGTGATCATTGCATGTGAAATGAAAACCTTTATCGCCTTGGATTCGAACCAAAAGTCAATAAAGTTAGTGATAAAAAAAATGCTTAACATATAACCTTTGTCAGCAAACATCTTTGATAAGATAAACTGAAGCCATTAAACAGTAGTAGCTTAAATTCTTTTTCTGCGTTATTATTCTTAACAGTTCGTCAGCGAAATTCTCTGTCCTTCTTCCTATTGTTACATCTTCTCTTCCTTCGATCTCATTTGTGTTCTCAACTTAGACATCATTAACTGATAATATTAGGTTCAATCGCGCCCAAAGAACTGAAGATCATTATAATCGTTTAGTTGAATTGTGATTATAGGAAAGAAACTGAAACTTTGTCTTATAAATAAAGTAATTCAAAATCCATTAGGAAAACTTTATTAAAAGCCAGGTATACTACGTACAGCTATTTCGTGAAGCATCAATGAAGACAGTGTTGAAAACTTCGCTAAAAAGCTCAAACTCCAAGTACAATAGAACATGGCTGCAATATCAGTAAAGTAAGCCATTAAAAACCCATTTTTTATTGGTTCCACAGACAATTTAGTTGTTATTCGTTTAAGATCAAATTAGGAGAATTTTCTTCACTGATCAAATGTCAGGCTTACTTGAAGAGATAAATAAAAAAATATGTAGGTGGGGGGAAGTGATTTAATTTTAAAGTGTTCAACCTACTAGGCAACTACCCTCCTTGTAACCATACAGCATCTTCAACCTGTAGTATACAATGAAATCAAGCGTTATACACACGATTAAAAATGAAATAATCAAGTCATCTTCTCTACTTTTAAAAAGACTCAGCGCCTCTTAAAAACAATGTGGACAAATCTGGATACATTCATCAAAAATATTTCGATAAATTTATGTATTTTTCTGTCATGCTGGAAGTCAGTTGGGAGTGCACATTAGTGCCGTATGCGGTCGCTTACCAGTCGTATGGTGAGCCTTTATCTGAAGGTATCGATCACCACTTCGGCTACGATAGATAAACCATCTGATAACCCTGTGTTGGGGATAAATTATCAAGCCTAAGGAATATAATGTTTAATAAAGAACTAGTATAGGCACTTCATATTCATGTCATCTGTATCTTAAAAGTCGTGCAATCATTGTTCTACACATAATTATATATTCTAGATATTGCGGGCGTGCATGCTTATTTCGTAAACCTATTCACTACTATGCATTAGCAGTGATCACCATCTTCGTGCTGCAAATACACCCTTTCATATTATATTGCCACAATTCAGCTGATCACCGATTAGTGATCACCATTTCTTATCTTATAGGGACTGTGACGTGCAACGGGTGCTGCTTAGTCTAACATAGAATTTTAGTAATTACCAAGCTTAAGATTCTATATTCACAGTTTTTGTTATCAGTCATCAGTTAGATTTCCTCTTGCCACAATCTGAGAATATCATTATCCAACTCACTACCGTATAGTTATAATGGTAACTGAAGTTTAGATATACAGTAAGTTATGGTTTTGGATAATGAAACACTCATAAACATAGCCATTTTTTAGAAGAAATTATGTGTGAGTATGTACATGTGAAAGACCAAATTTAATGTAATTCCTTTTCACACAACATATTTGGGCGTATGTAGATACGAACCTATTTAAACTCGCAAATTAATAAGACTAAAGACTTATGCGTATTGGAACAAATTTGACGAGTGCTGTATGGAACTGAATAACTTCGAGGGTTTTTACCATGCTACAAGACTGCTCTTAACTTAGTTTTACCACATCCTTCAGTGTCGCTTTATACAAATTTCTCAATCACCAAATATTGATCCATTTTCATATAAAACCTCTTCACCTGAGTAACTCAATAAGGAAAATATATGATTCATTAGTCATCTGGTCACGCCTTTCTTACGCATAGAGCCCTATATAGCCTAATTAACGCCCGAGCATGTGTTACAAAGTGATATTACCTCAATGAGACAGTTGTGTCTGCTAGAAATCAGACAACATACAAAGATTGAACGATTATTCAGCTTATACATGGAACATGCACAAAAGAAAGAGGAATTACTGAATTGGAACTGTACAAGCCTCACTTTGGCAACTAATAAAATTACCTCCAAGCTGATATTCATCACGGACTGAAATCAGTTGTAAAACCATTGAAAACCCGAGAGCACTAGATAGCTGTTTCATCCTGGTATTGGATTGAGTAATTTGCACCTATAACCATGATGAATACCAACTTGAAATCAATAAATCTCCGCAAGCTTCTAAGTTGAATAACTATCCAGCGCTCGTTAATGACTTGCTTCGAGGTGAAATTTCCTGGAGTTCTAATAAGAAGTTGTGATCGATGTGGCAAACGAAGCCAGACCTGAGGACAAAACTCAACCATGGCACTGAATGAAGATCGCGCTATGTTAGAAATTTACAAAAGTAGTGAAATGGGGAGCACTGAATTCCAACCTAGCGGCTGAATAGTTGACATGTTCATCACCAGGAAACTTGAAGTTTCTTGGGCTCCATCCGTGGCGGAGTCATTGGTGCGCACTACTGGGGAGTCCCATACTAGGGTGAAACAGCTATCTAGTTCTACCAGCTTTCAGCGGTTGTCAGTTTGTGATGAAAATCAACTTGAAATACGATTTCTTTGGAAACTGCATAGTCAAGAAAACTATTGTAATATATTCCTGGATAATTTAGATGTTATATTTTAGCAGGTTGGTCAAACGCGACATAAGAAACAGGACATAAGAAACTAATAAACGAACTCTGTTTTAAACGTATGTTTTAATAAAGGATGTTATACTTCTTATAATTTTGAAACCTCGTTTGTTTAATATATGAAATCTTTCTACAAACAGGATAGGACTATTCATGTGGTAATGCTGTTAAGAGACGGCCTAAATGGACTTTTCTGCATATATATAATATATATATATATATATATATATATATATATATATATATATATATATATATATATATATATACATATATATATATATATCACTAGATTGGAACTTTAAAAAGAACTTTGGAGTTTCCAAGTAAACAAAAATACCTTTTCAATGACTACTGGTAGGCAGAATAACTTATCAAGGGAAACGTAACCAGGCGTTCAACAATAAGATATTACACCACCAAGATCACGGTGAAAGACAGATCAATAGAATCCAACCAAATATAAACACTCTTATAGATGAAAACATATAGATAGGAACTTTATCTACGTTTTTAAGTAATAGCAACTTCCCGCTAAACACTGAAGTGCATCTTGTAATTTTTCGAGTGGAAACCTTTCCTATTCAGCAACTATGATGGATTTCACCTTCACTGGATAATCGTTTTTGCAGCTTCAAATAATTAACTTTTAATTAATCGGGAGCATTCTACGGTTAAATTGTTTTATTCGCTAGCTTTTCGGTTCAAGGGGCTTAGGTGCGTATGGAAACTTAGGATGCTTCCTTTGTTTCCGCTATCTATAAGAAATTGCTTGTTAAAAAGTTATGGTTTATAGTCTGTTCAGTTTTATCTCTTCCTAGTGCTTCATTATCTGACTTGACTATCTGGTTGTTCTTATTCATAATTTATTATTTTATCATTTGTCCCTTGGGTTTCTAGTGGAACATAGGGCTTCAGTAGCACGTCTCCATTTCACCCTCTTCTCTGCAGTCTGCCTTTTGTATCAACTTGTTAGTTTTCGCCTGTAGATCTTCGAGTTTGTGTGACAAGAAATTAGACATAAATGATCATCGTTGGTGAAATGGAAATCTTCTTCTGGGGTTTTTTCATCGGTCAAGCAGCGTATGTCCCTCTTCTCACAGCTCCTCACGGTTTGCTGCATGATCCAGTCGAGTCGAGTCGAGTCGAGTTGAGTTGAGTCGACCTTAATGAGGAAGATTATGGGTGATAGTTGGAGGTAGCTTTGTCTTACTCCTGTATCCACTTGAAAGGGATCACTGAGCTTTCCATTTTGAATCACTTGACAAGTAGCCTCATCATATAGCATAGCATAGGATATAGCTGCTGAATGAGGTTGGTAAAGGGTTCGTAGTACTCCTTAGTTTTGATGCAGCTACCAAATATTCATGATATTTGTGTATACTTGATAATCTTACTATTTCTTTAGGTGTTTGCACTACGTGTATTTGCGAACGGTATCAAGCCTTTCGTTTGATTTTCACGCATGGTTGTTTCCATGTTTCTCGGTTTAATTGTTTCACCCTTTAAACTGGTATTAAACATAGAGAACTTGTCATTTCTCTAGTAGTGGTTTGAAAACATTCTATGGTCACTTTGATTATGTTTCATTATTGTAACTATTAGGTAACCTGATTCGAAGTATGTGTACTATGACTATCAAATAAATTTAATAGATATTAAGTCTCTATGGTAACTGAATATTGAACCATCAAAAATATCGAGTTCAAAGCGTTGAACTTCACGGATTTTCAAGGACAATGATACTAAGAATTAATCATTTGGTTAGATCTGTTGATAACAATTACAATACTCTACAATCTTTTAAATTCAACTATTTTGATGTATACAGGATTTATCAGAGATATGGTAAAACCGTTGTTCATTGCTTGGCATGAATTTTGTCAGACTGGTCTGACATTGAAAGTTTTACAATACTTAGAGAACAATTTAAAAATTTGGCTTAGTCAAATGTCAGATCTGGAAGTGAAATATCCACCTGCATTCTATCGTCTTGGTTCACTAGATAGTCAGTCATCAGATAGTTTAACGCGTCAACAAACAGTTTCATCTTCCTTTGTTCATGCGGATCGTAGTGATGGACGGGAAGAAAACGAATTGGAGGTGAGTTCTGGTGCCTGATAATAGTTTTTTTTT